TATTAACTTAACAGCTTATAGGATTTTCACAGTTTTTTCTAATTACCTGGGGGGAAAAAAGAATATATGTATATACATATATATATATAAATAACAGATTAAAACTAATCATGGATCCCTTTAAGATTCACATCTACTAACTGAAGATTTAGACTTAGACTCCATTTTATTTATCCCTTAGGATTACTCCTTCAGGAAAATTCTGGCTCCAGTAGCTTATATAGAGTACAAAGAGCTAAAGTAAAATGCCATTAAAGATAAAAATACGTTTTAAAATATAAAATTATATGATAAAAATACGATTTTTCCTCCCATCCCAGAAACTCAGCCAGCTTGGATGGAGATGATCTGTGAACAAAGATGTAAATCTTGTTGCAGGCGCTCATTTGGATTCCGTTTTCCCAGAAAAAGGAAAAGAAGTGTTAAAGTAAATGGGGCTGACTATATGTATAGCACACATTTTCATATTGAAATATATTTTTAAAAAGCATCAGGTTCTCTCTGCCTCTGAATGTCCGTGTTTGATTTATGTAGCTTTGCTACATAAACAATTGTTAAAAATTCTAAGGGGTGCAAATACTTTAAACACTCTTAGTGCTGTGGATGAACAGTGTCACAGTGATTTGATAAAGCAGAACATTTCCTCACGGTACAGAATGGGCTTATTCTGGACAGCATGAAGAAAGTGGGACATCTTGATGGTAATGCTGCTTTTATGGTTGGCTCCCTTTGATCAGCGAGCCTCTATAATTTGACACATGCTGGACTTATTTATTAGAGTTGATAAATCTGTAGGCAGAGCTTTGTGGGCTTCGCTCTTCCAATCCAACCCCTGGGAGGCAGATATGCTGACCTAAACCAACAATATTGGATTTACAGTTAATTTGTTCCCAATTTTCATCCATCAGCTTCACAAAAAGCATTTCCCTAATCATCAGCAAAGGACTCTACACAAAATACCTGCAATGAGTTTGCTGCCATTTTTATCAACACCAGAAGCTTCTGATTCAGGAGAAGACAAAAACTATGATTTAACTATGATTTGAAAACAACAAAAACAAAAATAAATGGATAGTTTTTTCTGGTATTCCTGAAACTACAATGATGAGATAGCAGTGCAGCTCTATTTAGCATGCTAGCAAATGGAGACAAAGCAGATCAATAAACATAAACTTTGGTAAAACAACTTGATTTTTAGGCAGATTTGTTCAAAGTAATTAAAAAAAATACCCAAGTAAAGGTAAAAATATCTTATGTGCCAGTATTCTGTTTTTCCCACGCATATACTTCAATTCTATATTGAAAATTGAAGAATGTCACCTTCTGTTGTTAATAAAATACAGATTATATTAAAAAAAATATTGTCCCTTTAACAGATACATTCATAGATTATTTATTGATTGATTGATTTAAAAAAAAAGGTTCGATCCTTTACTTGAGTAAAAACAATGGAGGTAGAATTTGTAGAAATCCTGCTTTTGGCCAGAAAAAAAAAACAGGTTTTCAACATTACGATCCATCTGAAATTAGAATAGCAGCGAAGCCATGGTGTAGAACGACATGCATCCAATACCGTGCTGGCTGCCTAATGAAACTAAAAGTAAATGCATCTAATCTGTATTAAACACTGAAAAAGTTTTGAAATAATTTAAAGCAAAAATCATAGAATGGTCAGATTTGAGGAGATATGTAGAATGAAATGCTGTGGTATAACAACATTTTCCAGCGCTACATTATCATAAAAATGGCAATATGTTTTCTTTGTTAATGCATGTACATAAATCTGTATAAATTGTACCATTAGACATTATCATGATGCGTATTGGATCGCCGAATTCTTGACAATTTAAAACCCCTGTAGATATACTTCATAACTGCACACCTCTGGTTTCAGAGTTGATTGATCTTGAAGAAACACCTGTCAAAAACTTCCGTCAAGTTGTTTCTTCTTCATATGTAGCAGATTCAGTTAGCGAATCATTTCTGTTGTTTTCTAAGATTATTTTTTTTAAGCCATAATGTCTGCTTGGATTTTACCAGGGCCTGCTGAATAACTCCTGCTTAGGTTTGTAGCACATCTGGGAAGAATGGCAAAAGGCAGGAACACTCAATGGGCACCTGCTGTAACAATGAGAACAGGACTATTTCACTATGTTAAACAACTTTATGCTGTTTTCACTCCAAATGCATTTAAAGCATCAAACAGGCGTCGGAAGCCTCATCATGGAAACTTATGCACATTACAGTTAGATGAGCGTATTTTGGTCCCACCCAATGGGAGACAGAGAGAGAAAGATAGGTGCGGCTTAGCTTTATTAACTGTTAAAAGATTGGGAAAGAAGTAGTTTTAGGATGTTTATAAAAAGAAATTCCACTTCAAAACTTCATCAGTGCAGTTAAGCAAGATTATGATTCTACTTTGATATCTTCTGTAGCCGTCCTGAGCAGACAGATAGTGGGGGGGGGGAGTTGTTACTGGGGATCCCCAGAGACCGTTCCCTCAAACTGGCCAAGCTCTCAGGGATTTCCTGCCCCTGTTAATGGCAGCTGGTAGTGAATACAAGCCTAGGTTGTTGGTAAAAACTTTAAAGTTCCAGAATATAAAATCTAACATTTTTGTTTTCAAATTTTGACATACTAATATTGGCATTAATTCTAAACAGTTGTGCTTCAGTTTAATAAGACATTATTTTAGTGGAGTGAACAAAGAACTTTGACTTTTCTGTGTAAAAGTGGTGGCTGGCCAATAGAGGGAGCTAGAGCGCTGCCCCATCCACCCAATGACACAGATTAAGACATAAAAAATGTGTATATATATATTTTTTTTATAATTTTAATTAAATTTACGTTTAAAATATTTCAAAATATGTCAATGTATATCTTTTTAGATGTGTAAGATAAATATTTTATCTTTAATGACTAGTAAAGCGTCATTGCATTTTTCGTCAGATTGGTGATGTATTTCCGCCCTGGGCGCAAAAATCTTTGCCCATCAACTCTCGTTAAAACTTGGAAACGAGCAATAGCTCCTCTGCAATACAAAGGCATAGGAGAGCTCTGCTTACAGGAAGTGTCTTTGCTCATCACCTCCCGCCACGGTGCAGACGTTTTGCGGGTAAAAGAGAAAGAATCTTGTTTTTTCAGGACCTGGTTTAGCAAGAAGGCTTGGCTAACTGCATGCAGCGAGGCTACCACTTTATTCTGCGTTTCCTGCATCCTTTTTTAAACCTTAGGATCTGACCCAGCATGGATAAAGACAGGTAGGACTGATTTATGGCCCTTTGCAGAAAAGGCAAAGAGGAATAAACAATCTGGGATTCACAAGGAAAATAATATAATATAGTGTACTTTTTCTACATGTTTGTTAATGTGCATAGTTGCTATTAACTAAACACATTCTCTGAAAAGAAATAGTTTTGATATATATTAAAAAATATAAAGCTGACTAATAGCTTCTCAATTATCAAACTGGTACGTTATTTATTTTAGGTTTCTGACTATATTGGACCATGCAAAACACAGATTTGCCTTCACAAAGACTCAGAAGGGCAACATTTATGTAGAAAAAGTAAACCTATACATGAAATTATGTTTTATTTTTATAATGTGCATATAAATAACTGGTGCGATACTATTGGTTTTGGATATACGTCTATTTTGAATTTACAACCCAAAACTCCATCAGCCACCACTGCTGTGTACATCCCAAAAAAAACAAGGGAAAAAAAAAACTTTCCTGGATTTTTATGTAAAACTTTTGGCATATAAACTCTTAAAATTGTTAAAATTTTACATTTCAGGTACAATTTTAGATTTGAAATTATAGCTAAAAAATATTTTCATATTTACAATAAGGATGTGTCTGATGATGCAGAGCTGTCCTCACATGAAGTCTTGAAGGTTTCAGTTAAACATGTACTGGTACTGAATTTGGAAAATGTACCAACAGAGAAGAGATCTGGAAATCTTTTAGAGCTGAAGAACCAGTAAATTAAAAATATTATTTTGCTATTAAAGGACTTATTAGTTGCAGCTCTGCTAATGGACACCAGGTCATTTTTTGTAGATTTTTCCCATAATTCCCCATTGGTAAAAATCTTTTACTCAAAATGAATTTCACTAAAATCTTTACTCATTTAATACAAAGGAATTTATGAGTTGCTTGACATTACAAGTGATTTAAGCATCTTATTTTCACAATCAAGGATTACTAAATGAGAATTATCTGTGTGTATTTATAGATCGGTGAGATTTAAAAGAAAATTTTTCAGGTTTTTTTAAGACAGATTGAAACAGCTAATCTCCTGAGTGTCCTGTTCTCTTACAGCCTAAATGATCCAAACATCTGGACCTTGCAGTACTTTTAAATAAGATCTCACATCTCTGCCTCCTGGGACTTCACATGTAACACCTTAGGGATAACAAACAAAGGAATGTTAATTTCTATGAGCTAACGCTTTGACTTTTAGAGCAAGTAACAAGATTATGATTTCTACCAGGGATCCAAATGAGCAATTAATGAATAAATCAAAGTTGATAGATCTTCGCAATCGACTAACTATTAATTAATTAGCATTTTCTTGAAAACCAGAGTTTTCCCTCGATCAAGAAGTTCTTTCAAAATTCTATCCATTTGGTTGGACTAAGCTACTGAGCAAAGCAGAATGAGCACAAACTAGCAAAGCTAAGATTTGCAACAGAAATACGCCATACTTTATAGATATTTTTGGGAAAAACTAAAAAGAAAAAAAAGAAAAAAAACACAACTTTCCTTGTAATATGAGAAATAAACATGCACAGTTCAAAACATATTTGTGTTTTAAGGACCTAGCTTATTTAAAGTGTTACCGGAGGCTATGCTTTGCTTAATGATAGACAGCTTCACTGTACTTACTGTCCCTCAATGAGCCAGGTGCACTTGGTCTTGTACTGATAGTTTCCTGGACCATCCGTCAGGTGACCAGACGGTCCGGTAAGCCTGAAGGAGAAACATAAAGAAAATGAGATAAATCCACAAATACTGATGTGCAAATTTAAACAAAAACCTTTCAAATTCAATACAAAAAAAAAAAAAAAACAGACAAGAAGTAATACAATGGTAAATAGTGGTATTTCCATAGTTTCACAAATAAGTAAATATTGCATCACAATACAACCTAAAAAAAAAAAAAGCCCTGTTGCACAAGAGTTAGTCAATCAATCACAGAGAGCGGGTAAACACTAACTTCTGCTGCTTTACGTCACTTTAGGCAGGGAGCAACAGTGTCTGATGACTATGTAAGTTGGTAATGCTGTTAATAGTCCAGAATAGCCTGTTGTTGCCTGGTGCTTCATGTCTTGATTATACAGCAGCAACAGACAGGAGCTCACCAACACCAGAGAGTAAGAGTATCACTAATGATGTAGGTCTCAGGGCACAGCAAGTCTGCCAACACACCCAGACGGTTGTTTTCCACAACACTGTCACCTTAAAGTCTGCAGAGAAAGCTGCACACGCCTTGGCTCCTTAGCTAAAGGAGCCGGTCAAAGATTAAATCCATTATGTCGGAAACCAGATTGTATTCTTACAGTTTTACAAGACTTATAAAAACAGAGTGCTTCTGGAGAGCAAAAAACTCATAGGTCCCAGATTTGATTATATTTGTTATTTGTATCTAAGTAACAAGTGTGCTGTAAGCTTTTGTTTTAGAGAAAACTTCCTCCCTGAACTACCCAAAGTTTATCACAGGTTGGTTTTCACTGGCTTACATTTCTGCGTAGGCAACCTTTCAGTTAACATCATGTATACCGCTTAATAAAAATTATATATTTCCGTGAAACCTTTATAAGTTTGACATTTCAGTGCTTGCATTTTCAATGTTTGACTTTTCAGTTTAAAAATGTAGTGTTTAGTTTTTCCAATGCTAAATCTGACATTGATGTTAGACTAAAACAACTTTTATTGTCATTTTGTGTGTGTACAAAATGAAATTTCGTTTTTGTACAGTTTTAAGACAGTGAATAAGCAGCAGTTTAGTAGTGAAATGAACATTTCTATTTCATAAAGTGCAGTAGTGATCAAATGTAAACATTGTGGGAGATGAACATGGTGCAAAACGCATTGATACGGAAGTTCAGAGCATTTCAAGACAAATATATTGGGTGGAAATATGCAGCATTTTGGTTTGGCGTTATCAGTGTGATGCAGAGTCAGTGACTTGATTTAGAGGGGTTGTTTTTTGTTTTTTTCCGAAAAGTTCAGCAGTCTGATGGCAGAATCTACTTGACCTGCCGTTACTGCGATGTCAATGCAAGCTATCGTGGATTAGCTCTACAGGATTGTGTCATTAACTCTGCAGCAACCCCTCTCACTCAGCATGCATGTTGAGACAGTGGAGAGAAAATTTCCCTTAAACAGAAGAAACCTCACAACCAGGATCAGTGTGAGGAGCCTTCTGCTGAGGCCGACTGAGGGTTTGAATGGCCACACAAAAGAAACAAAGGAGCACTGGTCCAGGTGTCACATCTTAGAGGAAAGTAAGAGGTCAATGACAGCAGTAGAAGCTTAAATGGCTTAATTCAGGAGAGAAACAGCTTAGCAAATTAGCTCTGATTTCTGTAAATATTTCACAGGTCTTAAACAATTTTCAAAGTTAAACTTCAGTTCAAAGATCAAAAAGATCAAGCTGATAATGGTCCCACAGATTAATTCTTTTATTTAAAAACTACTTTACTTTTGCAGGCTAAAGTAAAACCAACCCCCCAAAGATTCTGCTAGGCAAAGAATGAAGCCCTTGTCTTTTCATACCATAAACATTTAAAATTGAATATGAATTTGGGAATTTAGTCATTTTATTTGGTTTAGAATGGAATGTTAATATCTTCCAGTGGTCTGTACCCAATATGACAGCTCTGCGTTAGATAGAATTATCCCAAACTTTTAACAGCATGACCCAAAAATCCCCTGAATGATGCCTTTTTCATCTTTGAAGCCCATAAATTCAGCACGTCAGCACTATAAACAACGATGTTTATAAAATTTTATGATATGGCAGTAAACATTCAGCAAAAAACTAATTTTACATGTTTGTTGTGGCAGTGGAAGGAGAGTGGATCTTTATATATCTGTTTTTACCTGCATGTCCTTTTGGAAATCTAAATGCTATTAAGCAACAGTTAATTAAATAGAGGAATCAATACAGAGCTATTACACAACAGAGGTCATTTCAGTGCAGTGAAACAAGAAATTCAGAATTAGTAAGCTGCACACACACATAGACTGTAACACACATACACATATATATAAACAAAGTTACTCTCTAAACTTTTTTTCTTAAGAAAACCAAAGTACGGTTCTCTGCAACAGCTTTAAAAGCAGGAGCTTCCCTTTTACATGCAACATCCAACCTCCCTCTAAAGTCCTTTTTAAGCATCTCTAATGAAAACGGCTGCCTTGATGACAGGTACCTTCTGCAAACACTATCAGCCATCAGTCCCACCAGGTTTAAACTCAATCATTGTTTAGATAAGGGCTGTATGATTTTTACTAAAACGAAAATTGAAATTTTTTTCAAACAATATTGTGATTTTGTTTAGATTTTTAGCTTGTGCATGTTTAGCTCCAGGCTTTATTTTGGGGCTTTGAGTACTCTCTCGTCAAAACTTGCCAAAACGCCATTAAAAAAGCATTTCACTGTGAAAAGTGCTGCTCTAGCTCACTTGCATGGATCTGGAGGCTAGCTACATCTCCCATCTTCTCTTCTTTGTTCCAGTACCCAACATTAAGTCTATTTCTGCCACTTGAAAGGGCTGGAGTGAGAAAGTTGGTGTTTTACTCAAGTTAAATGTAACATGACCAAAGGTCTAGTGTCTGTGTTTTGAAAACTTTATTGAGTATATATTGCATACACAATCAAATAACCAACCCCAGTTTAGATCTCGGCTATTATTTGTATGTATATTTGTATTTTTTGTTTAAAGACACTGACCTGCTGCACATTTATTTTAATATTTTGCTACATTTCAACTTCCCCAAGAAGGGAGAATAAATAAAAATATTTCTATTATATTCTAAGTCTGAGCCAGTAGGAAATTCCACATAAAAAACCTGCCATATGTAGCCCTTTCTGCTAGCACTTATGTTTACTTTTGAGTTTATGAGCAGCCTAGTGTCTGTCTGATCAAAATAAAAATTCTTAATGAATCTTTAATTAACAGTAAAAAAAAAATAAAACAACTGAAGTACCAAATGTTAAATATCCACAGAACGGAAGAAAAAAAAAATTGAGCAGATGTTTATATTCTGCGGGGAGATGGATACAAGGAAAGCCAAATATTTAGACAGGCATTGAAACGGCAGCCCATTCTAATGAGAAAAGCTTCCCTGCAGCAGAGACAAGAGCTCTATAAATGACAGTGTTGCAATGATGAGAGCAGAGTAAACATCAAGCCTCATTCAAAAGCAACAAGGCCTCTGTTCAGTCGCCTTGCATGGAGAAGGGAGCAAAAAGGACAGCGCAAAAACAGTTATTAGGAACTAGAGTTTCTGAAGATCAAGTGAAAAAATGGTTAAATATAGGATATTATTAAAAAAGACACAAGGTTTTTAGCTCACTGGTAAAATAAAGAGCACTGGTTTACTAATTGGGCATTTTATACATTTCTTTTTTTTATTCTAAATTTGGTCCGTTTCAGTCCTCCTTTAGAGAACATAAAACTAGGTGTTTTTTTTTCCATTTGGTTTAAAAAGTATTTTGTAATATCATCTAGGGAACTATGAACCTTTAAATCAGATTTAAAATGCTATGAAACTCTCCACTTATCTTCAACTAACTTTAAAGGCAATTTCCCCATCTGTCTAAATGAAAAATCTCTCCAACAATAATTTGTGCACACTATATAGCTTTAATGCACAAACGTGCTTTTCTGTTGCTGGTTATGCAGGTAGAGGCATTCTACTATCCCTACGAGAAGTTTGTCAAAAACACCTGGGGCTCCTCCTCTGAACAGGACCTCAAACACTTCCACATCTGTTCATTTTCACAGCACAGGTACAATTACAACCTACGAGTATAAACATGTCAATGTGGATCTGTTCTGAATGAACCCTGGTGCAAGTAAACAAACATCGTTATCAAATCATTTTATTTGTCCCCAATAAAAACAGGACAAAGTTGATTTTTTTGAATTAGTTGGGAGAAATGTTCCCTTTAAGGAGTACGCTTTGCAACGGCACACAGCTAGCGCATTTTCAATGTACAAGAAAATCTATGCAGCACACAAAATAAAATCCAACTAACTAAATCATATAGACCAGTACTTTTTTTACTGCATCATTGTGAAATACATTTAAGAATTGTATTTGGATGAACATGTTCAATAAAACTGGAGTGTACTTCAAAAAAAGTTCAGCAACTATCCTAATTCAGGTCATCCAAATAAATAATCCAGCATTGAGAAGAATATGTGGCGACCCAAATTATTTATCAATCTAGGCTTCCAGAACAATTCAGCTCAGCAGTTTGTAACGGCCCTGCTGTCCAACAAGCTCACAGCTGAAGTAGCACCTGTTCACCGTGCAGTGCAATGCCTCATGTGTCTCTTTTTTTCTAAATTCAAGTACGTGATGAAGAAAAAAACGCCAACAGGAATAATTTTGAGATATGGTGGCTACAGCGCTTAGATGTGAGGAGCTAAAGGAGATCTCACAGCTAGTGGATATGTGTGCTACATTAAAAGCATCCAGTGCTGATTGTGAAAGATGATTTGGTTTAATAAATCAAATCAAAAAAGCATTAAGAACACTCTTAAGGTGGCATATCTGGACAACTATTGGAGATGAAAAATAAGTTATTAGTTTTTTCAGTTTAAGCGGGCCAAATAACTTAAATTAAAATTAAACTAATGAAAACTGCTTATTCTTTTAATACACCATGTGACGTGCTATGATCCCAGGTTTATATAAGTTTTGTGGCTCAGTGGTCCTCAGTTAACTCAGGG